AATGTAGAACTGCTTCAAATAAAATTATTTTCAATTCCCACACTTAACACTTTAATTACCCCTTCAACAAATATTAAAATATGTTCAATAAAATTGCATATTGTATATTATACATTGCAATTTATAGAACAAATTTATTTCCAATAGCTCAATTTATTTTAATGCCAAGGATTATCCAATATTTTTAGTCATACCTGTAGATTGGATGTATAAATGAATGATTTTTTGTTTATTCACGACTAAAACATTGATTTTTCAAATTTATTACACAAAAAATCATCGTCTGCCTTTGTGATTTATAGCATAAGAGGATGATGAAGTATTTTAACAGGTATAACAAATTTAGAAAGAATTAATATATAGCATTCGCGGTAAAGGTACAATATCACCTTGAATTTTTCTACCCAAAATAATTGCTTCAATAATGTTGCTTGTAATTTTTATAATTTTGTACCATATTTTAACTGGCTTTTAGTAATTTTAATATCTAAATTACATTTTTCTCACTAATAATTCAATATACATTATTTCTTGAGTTAATATTTAAAGTGAATTAATTTGTCAAATCCTGTTCACATGCGCTCCATTCAACTTACGATCAACAAAATTATTGCAGTAAATAGAGAGGAAAAAAACGTGCGCCTTTCAAATTTTTTTACTGTGCTCCAATTTGCTTGATATTTTGGAAATAGGCTAATCTTAATCTTAAGTTCAGAAGCAAAAACAATTTGCATTCCTTCACCACCCCCGGCATTAATTGGGTCATTTAATTCTAATTTTATCAGAACTTGTAATATACTATTTTAAAGGTAATTAAATGAGTTACAACTTTCTCTATCATAATTTTGCCGTAACTTCTCTTATATTGAAACGGCGAAGGATTAAAGGACTCGAAAGACACTCTGGTTGGACAGCCGCGCACTCTTTAAACAATCATAGCTCTATCAATATTTGTGTAACAGAAAAATAATAAAAAGCAATAATTAGCCGAAAAAAGACCTTGACTTTTTATCTATGTACCTTTATACGTATCTTTTATTCTGTCAGAGATATAATAATGAGAAATTGGTTGTTTTTTTTTAAATAGATTTTTTATTATCATGACCTTTTTGAAAATCGTGTGTACTAAAGTTGTGGTATTTTCTAGAATTCTAGATTTATAAAAATCTAAATTAAGAACATACGAGTAATAGTTTAGGAGGATTGATCTTTCATACCCCATTACAAAAGAATTTTATATATATATACATATATATAAGATATACAAAATTCTATACCAATCGCTAATTCTTAAACTTGAATATACTCAAATTCAGAAACCAGAAAGATTTAAGCATATTTTTGAAACAACATCTTCATCTTGAGGCTTTTATAATTTATTACTTAGCTAAACAACTGATGGCACCACTTTGATTTGCATCTCAATTTGACTGTACCAATATTAGAAAATTTTAATGTTTGTATACAAATGTGTGTGTTTGTATACAAATGTTTAATGTGTGTTACAAATAAATCGAAAACCAAAGTGATATTGGATTAAAACGTCAAACTCACAATTTATCGATAATAAGGTTCTAAAAAACACCAATCGATTATTATGAATATTTTTAAGTGCTTCGAATACTTCCTTGTGTTTGTGAGTAATTTTATAATTTGTAGACGTACATGATGGTCATGTTGGTTTTGTTTTTCTAAATAATTTGGGTCAGAAGGCTGATAGTCAGTAATATAAATCTTTAAATCATTACATGAAATGCTCAAATATTCACCAATAAATATTTAATTTTTTTTTATTATAGAATGGCTGCCCAAAAGAAGTGCGTCTGTTCGACTGGCAAATAACACGCTTAGCTTCACCTGCCATGGACTTATGTTATTTTTTCTACATAAGTGGTAACGACGAATTAATTGAACATCACTTTGATAATATAATGGATTTATACTACCAGCAACTCGAAAAATCCGTCAAATTACTAGGAAGTGACATTACCCGCCTGTATCCCCGATCGATTTTGGAAACTGATCTCAAGAAATTTGCTAGATTTGGAATTATATTTTGCATATTTGGAATGAATGTACTCCTTGCTGAAACTCCTCCTGATATGGGCGATATGTTTATTAAAGCAAGCGAAAAAAAATCAGATAATGAATGCCTCAGTAATCTTAATGCCGAAGCACAAGAAAAATTTGCCAATAGAGTCAATATTATAATCAAACAAGCCAAAAGTAAAGGGTTTGTTTAACATAATACAAAATAGCATTTAGAAGGTTTAGAAAGGTTTAATAATAACTAATTTTGTACATAAGATAAGTGAATATATAATAATGATATTATGATTTTTTATTGGGCGCGTCGAATTTGAAAAATTTGCTTTGACATTGAACAAGAATAATTTCTTAAAATCATTAAAATAATTGCCATTCAAATTGATTTCACAGTCTAATATATCATTGAGATTAATACAATTGTAGAATTTAAAAAAAATTATTTGACCAAATAAATGCAAAATTCCAATTTGAAACATTTACATCCAATATGCAGATGTAGGTATATCTACATATTAGACTAGAAGACTATCAATAGCGCTTATATGACACTGGCTTTGAAATTTGACAATATAATTATGAAGATCGATCAATTAAATATTTAGGAATTAAATATTTAAATTATCAATTTTTAGTTTATTTCCTGCATTTATTTTTAACTTATTGTATCAATAAAAGTATAAATAAAAGACTGTTAATTTGCTAATATAATCTCACAAAAGTTTTTCATTATAATAGTTTAAAATATGCACTATATATATTCTTTTGCTTCTCATGGTTTATAATCATGAAAAAATGTTCTTCTGCGGCAAAAAATTGCTAATTATATAGGCTCATCCCATTGCATCTACATTGCAATATATAAAAATACATATAGTATTCGTACATGTAGTGTTCGTTTTATATGTACACATTACATTTTTTAATGAAAGCATATTTTAAATCACTGACTTCATTGTTAATCAATAGTGCAATTAAACTAATTAATTAATATATATATATATATATATAAGTTCTAATAAAAATTTGTCTCTATTTGTTGTCAACTTTTAACATACCATAATACAGTATGTCAAATATGACTTGTCCAGGTATATCAAATAATTTTGTGGGTTTTTAACTCATTTGTTGTTGACTTATACCTATAGCTATATCCTTAATTTAAACTTTAAGGTTTAGAGAAAGACTTCTATTAATTCGACCTACAGGTAACAAAATAAATTGTTTTTTGCAGTAAAAAGAGTTCCAGAGATTTTTCATTTCAAATTATAAACACTTTTTAAAAAAAATTGGTCTCAAAAATTAGAAAAAAAGTGTTAGGGGTAGACAACCCTTGGTAAAGATAAATATTATTATGAAGTAAAAAAAATTGTTTGTATTTTGTCAATTCAGCATTAAAAAAATTATAATAAAAAAGTTGACACCAAAAATTCAAAAAGCATTGGGTTTGGACCACTCTTAGTAATTAAATATTGTATTTTAAAATAAAATTTAAGCTTTTTTTCTTCAAGCTTAAAAATTGGAACTAAAATTATGTCAAAAATTTTTGAACGCAATATGTAAAATCATTAAATTGCTAAAATGGCTATAAAAATAGAAACAAAAAAAATTGTCCAAGAATTAAAAAAAAGGTGAACAACCCTATCACTTAGGTGTATGAAAAATAGATAGTTACAACATGGTTACAACGGTAAACCCGTTTCGAAGGAGTACGGAAACAAACTTTGTGACACAAAATTTCATATATAAGATTGAAACTTTCAAGAAATTGTAAAATTAGATATTTCAATTTAATTGAAAACCAAAATTTATTGTTTACATACAATAAAGAAGAAACTCAGATAATTTTTTGTTGTTACCGCAATTCAAACCATATTAAAAAAAATTCAAAATGTTTCTATATCACATTCACAGATCCACAAAAATAGTTGACTGTATTGTATAGGGTGTGCGACGCATGTCTCCAATATATTTTTTACCGCTGAACACGAATCTAAAGTCTAAATTGAGGGTCAAAATGTAAAAAAACAGAGAAATATAAAAACTAATATTTCTCAAGAGCAATTTGAAAAATAATGTAAAATCCTATTGTATCTATTGCATTAGAGAATGAAAATAACATAACTCTACTTACATTATTGAATTATATAATATTTTTAAATTTTGACGCATACAACTCTGATATCGTAATCAAAGTTTATGAATTGAAGGCCGGCAAATCATACAAAGTTATCAACCGATGATATCATACATCAGTAACACTGAAACTTTTAGTAATAAATAATATTAGAAATAGATTATGACATATTTTTTTACTTTTATCATTTTGCCTAATTTTTTTCGAGGAACGAAAATATTTTTGAAGTTATAATATTAAGAAGTTACTGCATCTTTGCACAATGCAATTAGTTTTTTAGTTTCAATATAAACCAATTAATTTACGTACTTTGTTTTAAGTATGGTTTTATAAAATTTTTGTAATTGTATATTTTTTATTTTTTGTGAATTTTACTAAACATAAATTATTATATATTTTAACCCTATTTTATATAATATAAGCAGCAAAGCATTTCAAACCCATACCTAAAAATCTATGAAATCGATCTATTCGCATACTATAACCTATGAACTATTAAAATCCTAAATCTATGATTAATATAAAATTCTAAAAATACATTTGGCCTAAAAGTGTTTCAACAATGCTATTGATCGAATCGAAATACTTTTAACTCATCTTTTGTTATTTGACGCATATTTTGAGAATCGTTAATTTCGATATACAGTTACAAGACAGAACGAAATTGCCTTCTGTTGCGAAATATTTTGGTATATCTGCTCCAACAGGTATTAATTGCATTGTCTTATCAAATAACGTACGACAGATAAGTGTAAAAAAATTGAGAAAATTATAGTGAAATATTTTAATGCAAATATAAATATTACTTCTTAACAAAATGAATATGTTTAATGAAACTGTGCGCAATGCTTTGTCAAAGGTGATAAAAGATATAGGATTTCAAAACAGTGATATTAATATATCTTTGGCTTCCAATCCTGGAGATAATTATGGTGGAACACTTTATAGAATTCAAATTTCCGGCGAAAAAGAAGGCTTGCAAACTACTCATAACTTAGTATGCAAAGTTCCTATAGAAAATTTCAAATTGAACTTAAACTTAGCATTCAACAGAGAAGTCCATGTTTATCAAAATATACTAAAAACATTCGAAGAATTTCAAAAAGAAAAAGGCTTAACGGAAAATTACAAATTCAAGTCATATGTCCATTGTTATGATTCTGGATGTCTTAAAAATTCCGAATATATCATAATGGATGATCTCAAATCAAATTCCTATGTGATGTTGAACAAGTTGAGTAAAATAAATCGCCCTCACGTAGAACTTGTTGTAAAAGCTCTTGCAGAGTTTCATGCTTTAAGTTTTGCCTTGAAAGACCAAAGGAAAGAAGTGTTTCAAAAAATCTCAAACGTTCCAGAAGTTTTAGTAGGAGTGCTCAGTGAAAGAGCTTTTTTAGATATGTGTGATTTTGGCTTAGCACAAGCTGTTGAGGCGTTAAATAAATGTGATGAAGATTTACAAGATAAAGTTAGAAAGGTTAGAGAAAATCTACTAGCAACAGTAAAGGAATTTTTTAATGGAGTTGGTTCGGAAGATTATTGCGTCATAAATCATGCTGATTGCTGGAATAATAATATGATGTTTAAATATGAGGTAGGTAAGTGAAATTTTTGAAATCATAGTAATAATAACGATAATTTTATTGAAGAATTTTATTAAAACAAAATTCAAATATCTGATGCCACTCTTAACATTGAAAGTTATTTGACAGTTATCCGCACTTCACTGATATATAAGCATAGATAAACAAGTATAAATATTTAGTTGTATTGTATATAAGTATCTCAAATTCCATTTTCCTCAAATAAGGTAAAGCGGGGCAGAAATGTCTAATTTGACTTTCAGTAATCATATTGTGGAAACCAAACCAACTACATTGCAATACATAACATATATATGATATATCAAACAAACAACTGTCGAACAATGCTCAATAAAATTCCAGTTCCTAATTATTTAAATTTGTTATTTATTAATTTTTCTTAAATTTGGCATCTTTTCCTTTTTACCCCATAGTTGAGGTCAATCAAAAAAATTCTGATTATGAAATCATGGTGGTTGACCATTTTAACCGCGGACCTTGAGGAAGAACTGTGAAAAATTCTATCTATTTGCTGTGCGATCAGGCGAATTTTACATATAAACAATGTTAGACAAAAACTAGTGATGTATGGCCTTAAGACAAATTGCTGGAACTTTCCGTACTAAACGTTTTTTTTTTAACTAATTTTTTTTTAAACTTAGAAAAAAATTTGGAAAAAATGTTTTTTTTATTTTGAAATATTTTGGAAATTTTACACTTCTCTCCAAAGCAATCGCACTGCTTTAGCTGCATAGAGACAAATTATCGAAGCGCGTACGCGCTCCGTCGCCGTCTAACGAAAACGATGTTACGGAACCATAGAAATGTAAACAAAAATTGATACACATTATTAAAATCTCTATAAAATATCTGATAATTTGATGTGCATATGTTTAATGATCATTTTTGGCCGCCAAATGGCATTTTTCCACTTTTTTTACTAGATCTCCGAAACCTCTGGACCTGCTTTCCCAAAAGTTTAATCAGTTCTTCATCTTGTCAATACAAGTAAAATCTTCTTTAAATTATTCCCCCGTAGGACAAGTTATAGTAATCTAAAATGAAAATTTTTGTAGATCTTTACGTTTCAAAGGTTTCTGAATATTTTGGCATACCTTAGAAAAAATTGATGTATGTGTGGATGTATGTGTGTTTGTGTGTGTGTGGATACAAATTTTCGTCGACGATTTCGGGAACACCGATCAACCGATTTGAATAATTAAAAAAACATTAGATTCGTATTGATAAGGAAATGTGCTGATTAGTTTTTGGCAAAGGCACGTCTAGCTGTTTCCAAGATACGGGGCAAAAAGTGCCGAAAACGGTAACTCAGTTTATAAGAGAACGGAGCGTCCGATTTTAGTAATTCAAAAAACATTTTACTTGTATTGACAAAATGAACAACTAGGAAGCCAGGTCCAGCTGCTATGGACTCTCAATAAGAATAAGTTTTACCAGTTATTTGGCCGTCAAAAATGTTTATTGGACATATGTACATCAAATTATCAGATATTTTATAGAGCTTTTAATATTGTGTACAAATTTTGTGTAATTTTTTTTGGGTTCCGTACCAAGATTCTAATTGTGAAGTTTATTTATATGTTTCAAACAAATGTCCTCGACATTTTCCACAGTATGAAATAATCGATTTGTATAATTAAAAAATTGGCAATTTTGCCGTTTCGGAGATATGGAACGCAAAGGGTGTAAAAACGATTATGCAGTTTTTGTAAAAACGGATCATCCGGTTAGAATAATTCAAAAAACATTTTGCTTGAGTAGACGGTGTGCAAAAATGCATTTACAGAAAGTTTAGTGATTTTGAAAATGTTCAAGGTGGAGTCTCTACCACTGCGCCATGTGCACCATAATATGGCCTTTTTGCACAATTTTTTTTAAAAGATTATTGAAGTTATCCATACTGTTCGTTAAAAATAAAAACGTTTTGCTTATTGTTCTCGTATTAGTTTGTATTTAGGCAAAAAAAAATAAAGCTATCAATAAATTTTATTAAACAGAATGACAGGTTTATGTAACGAAAGTTTCAATTGAAAACATACCGAACAGGGATATCAGAGTCAAATTTCAAAACAATAACCTAATTTGATCCAAATTTGTTAGATAATATTTCATAATTTATTAATTTATGTTTGAATTCTTTTATTACTATCTCCGTTTTAACAGCAGGACATAAACATCGCCCCAAAGACAATAGATTTATTATACATTGAATATTTTTTTCCTTAATTTACAGGATGATAAACCGGTGCAAGTATGCTTATTCGATTGGCAACTCTGCAGATTGTGTTCCCCTGTGGTGGACCTAGTCAATTATTTCTACAATAGCACTGAACGTGAAATGCTAGAAGATCATTTTGACGATTTGATGTCTGTCTACCACGAGCACTTGAGCAATTTTATAGTCACTTTGGGAAGTGATCCAAAAGTGTTATATCCTTACGAACAATTTGAAAAGGATCTAAGGAAATATGCAGTGTTTCCATTTATCGCTTGTTGTTCGAATTTGTTCCTGTTGTTATCGGATCCGGATAAACCGCCTGTGCTGAACGACATGGCTGAAGACAGTGAAAAAGATATTGGAAGTGTGTTAGCTTTTCAGGATCAGAAGAGACAAAATCTCTATAATATTAGAATTAATGATATTGTCAAACATGCTGCTAAAAGAAAGTTCATTTAAATTCTGAGAATAAAATCAAGCATATGAAAAATGTTTGTCTTTTATATATTCGGAACAGTTTATTTATTTGTATTTTTATATGTACAATAAACTTTTTTTTACAATCAGCACTAAAATCTTTGATTACTTAATTCAGTTGAAGATCATGTTTTACATTTATGATTTTCTGCATCAAACATTTTATTTTGAATATCTTGAACACTTTTGTATTGATCTGCTGAATTGTTTCAAACATATTTAACAGATTCTGAACAGATATTGTTTAATTGTCATCAAAACCCTCATCATATTCATCATATGATTTGTCACTTTTAATAGGTATAGCAATTTAATAGTTAATATATCTTTCATGTTTCTATGTTTTATTATTCAAAACTTACTGAAAGAGAAGTTTGTTTTTGCAAGAAAATCCGATTCACTAATTTTTTTTCAAATTGTTCTGAATCGTTTGACAGCAATAAATGGTAATTGTAAAAACTATGTGCATACGAGCCAAAATTTTACTTCTCGACGTGTTTTCCGCTATAGCGAATTAAAAAACTAAAAAGCCATTTATGAAAATTTTTATCCATGTTTTAGCTAATTTTAGCTAAACTAGAAACAGTTCATTGGTATTATATGAGTTGGGATTCGTGCAGATAAGTTTTTGGTAAAGATTGTCCGGGTCGTTTCTTCGTTATTATTCGTTGGATATTTTTTGTCGAAAAATTTTATTATGATAGGGTTAATAGCTAACAAATATCATAAAATTTGATTGGTCTACAAACTGTTTGTTAATTATAAAACTTCTTTAAATTTTGGAATAATTGGCTTGATCATATCTATTATTTACAGATGCCGGTAAGTCTGCCGGAAAAATATCACTTACAGGTAGTTACATTGCACTAAATTTCAAAATATTACATCCCAAATCTGAATCAAAATTAAATTTATATTTCATTATAAAATGTAATTTATACAAATACAGTAAGACCCCCGATTTATACAAATACAGTAAGACCCCCCTTAACGTGGGGGATACGTTCCATAAAAGTAGAGCGTATTGCGAAACAGCGCTAAACGAGGCTATCTTTATCTTATATTGAGGTTAGGGGAAAATGGCTAGAGAATTGGTTAGGTATTAAATTTAACTAGTTGGTATTGGTATTTAGCTTTGAGGCAAGTTACATGAACTTCCCGATATGTGTAAATAATCGACATAATCAATAAAAAATAAATTAATTTATGAGTGGATTTATTACACATAATTGAAAACGAACGAACACGTTAACTCGGAGTATTTTCAAAAAGCAACTTTTCAAAAATTATCAATTATTATATTTGAACCAGTTTCCGTACGATTTTAATCGTTTTGTATGTTTATTAAGAACAAGTACTATATTGTTATACCAAGTAAATCGTCTAATTTTAATTTTAGCTAACGTCAAAAAAACTACTCATTTTCTCAAACTTTGATGAATTTTTAAAATTAAACTACTTGTCGTAAGGCCGTAATCTTACAATAAATTCTATAAGACCATGATATATATCGCAAAAAAAATCCATAAAAATCGGTTTAATTTTTTTTTCAACAGTTATTTACAAGAAAACGGCTCGGTAGATTTTCATCTAAAACTAATCAGTACCATTCCCAACTAATATCTTTCGAACAGTTTTGATTTTTCAAAATCGGTTCGGTAGGATGAGCTTAAATATGGACGAAAAGTTTAACACTTTTTTTCAAATTACAAAAAAAAAAGGCTTGGCAGATCATCGTACAAAACTGACAAACAATAGTCCTCATCGAAATACATCAAATGGCTTTTAAATTTCTGAAATCGGTTCAGGCGTTTTTGGGAAAACGTCGATGAAAGGTCTAATTTTGACAAATGCCAAAATAACTATACCAATTTTTGCAAACTTTGACGAATTTTCAAAGTTGAACCAGTTGTCGTAGGGCCGTAATATTTTACGTCACAAAAATAATAATAAAAATCGTCGAAAATTTTTTTTAACACTTTATTACAAGAGATCGGTCCGGCCGATCTTTACCAAAAACTAATCAGCACGATTCCCAATCAATATCTTTCGAACGGTTTTTGAATTTTCATAATCGGTTCAGAATTGCGGGCTAAAACGTGGACGAAATATTTTCACTTTTCTGCTATTTATAAAGTAACGTCTCAGCCGATCGTCCCACAAACTGGCAAACGATAGTCCTCGTCGAGATACATCGAATGGCTTTTAAATTTTTGAAATCGGCCCAGACGTTTTCGAGAAAACGCCGATTTACGGCAAAAAATCTGTTCACATACACAAGTTAAAAATGTGTGTAGTTGTTTAATGTTTTTTTAATAAAAATAATGCCAAACATTTATTTCTTGAAGCCCATATTTCAGTTATGGTAGAAACACTCTTTTTTAACCCTATGGAAAGTTCTTTTTGCTCTTCCTCTAAATCACAGATATTAACATTTTTGTTGTCTTGTTCAGTTAATTCCTTGAGCTCATCATTAAAAAGAATGCTCTGCTTCTTGAATTATTTCTTTAACATCTTTCATATTTACCTCCTTCAAAACCTAGGTTAAAATAAAAGGGCGCTAAACCGAAACAGCGCTAAACGAAATAGCGTTAAGTGGGTTATAACTGTATATCAAGTCAGAAGTAACAAGCATCGATATAAAAGTTACCAACATCAATTATTATTGATCCACAACATAATTATTTTCAGCTTGTATTAAAATATTAATCAAAAAAATTTACTCACCAAATCGACTGTAATATTGTCGTGCATTTTCATATCTCCCAGGAAAAGTTTGCATTCTCCAGTATGATCCAAGATAACAGTACAGCTGGCTGTTCCACCCTCAATAGGTCTGTGGACAGTTCTGGTGCATTCCTCAGGAAGTAAAGAATCAAGAAATCTACCATGGGCATCCTTTCCTACTGCCGAAATTAATTTCGGCATTGCGCCCAATTTATACATTGCTTCAGCAATGTTACGACCTACGCCTCCTCCAGAAACAGCAGATGAAGAGCAAGAGAGCGTGCTTCCATCTAACTGCAATACAGAAAAGGTTTATATGTTAGCAAAGCTTTACACAAATGATCACTTTAAATTCTAAAGTAAAAGCTTGAACCACATTCAGAAGCTAATTTTCCAATAAAATAGACTACACCATTTATACTTGTTTATCTATGACTGCAACATAGCGAAATTGGACAACGCTATGTTACGTTCTTTTCTTCATATAAATTGCTAATAAAACTGTCAAATTGCTATGTATTTGCTAAGCATTCAGGCGTTTCAAATTTAATACCTAAACGCACATTCTATTTTATCGGAAAATTGGCCCCTCAAATCTAACCAAATTTTAATCGTAGCTATATTTTGCATAACTTAAGCAATTTAAAAACTACTTTGTTTAAGCTAGCTTCTGCAAAAACTTTCAAATACACAAAATCAATATAAAATTTAAATTTAAATCAACACATAAGTCATAGATAAATTTAAAATAAATGCTGAATTTGAAGCACAATACCAAAGCGCATTTGTTCTAACGATAAGTTTACCCTCCATGATGATCATTATTAAGTACAAGCAAGTGTAAAAATTAAAATAAGAATGAATTATGAATTTAGAATAATATTGTAAAATTTTTGAAACATATTGACCATTTTTTTAAGTAAAACTTCTGTAGAAGCGACTAGGGTGTAAATCCGTACAATTGCAACGGAAGTGCGTTACGGCAGATAAGATAAGATAAGATAAAAGTGCCAATAATTCGTCATTCGCTATCGGTGATATCCTTTCTAAACGGGTCGATCGTGATTAGTCGTCGCGTATGTGAATAGAGATCTGTCGTTGTATGCGTACCGGAATCAACGTTGTATGCGTACTGGCGTCAACGTTGTATGCGTACTGATATCAACAAGGAAATCGGCATAGATAAATAAACATTTTACAGTTACATCGTAGTACAAATCTTGATTTAATGAAAGCTGCCTGAATCAGAAGAATATTTTACCCTGCCCCGTAAATAATTATAATAAAAATAATAAAACAAATGCAACATTTGCGTCGTGTAAGAAACACAAGTTTATTGAAATAATTTCTATATTATTCGTAGTTTCTATAAATCTTTGAAGTTATTGAAATGAAAAATATTTTTTAGGCAAAACACATATTACAGCAGTTCAAAGAATGAAATTATAACGCCAGCAAAAAGTAAAAAAAATATCATACGTCAATGAATATATGTAAATTTTAATTACATGAAGTTCTTCGAACACAATTATTACATGATGAGTGAAGTTTCGAAAACAATATTTGCTTAGGCGTTGTTTTATTTATTTTTACTTAAATGCCTTGTACAGTAGCAATAAGTTTTACTTCAACAATATATTTACAACTGTCCTACATAAACATTTAGTAAATCTTTTGGCAACTATAGATGAAACATGACAGTAATATATCAATAGTGAAAATTACACAGTTGCATTTACCTATATGAAGCAAATGGTATCGCAAAATAATAATAATTCTGAGTGTCGAGTATTAAAAACTAGTTGAAAGTACCATTTAGCCTTAAGGCAAGTTGCAAAAACTTCCCGATAAGAGTAATAGTTGTTTAACCAACCGAAATTGAGATTTATATAATTAGATAACATTTTCAACTGTTTATTTCAACAATAAAGTTTTCGCTTTGGATTAAATCTAAGCATTGCAATTTCCAATTGAATTTTCTCAAACTCATTTATAATATCTATAATTATATTAAAAAATATAGTGCGTAGACACGTTCTTGTTTGTATGTCTTAAAATTGTAGCTTATTTTTCTAAAATTGATTTATATAATACACCAAATTTTTGTAGGACAGTTTAGTGCATGAACTTTATCACCATGTTAATTTTCATGAAAAACGTCGAAATATCATGTAAGTAGTTTAAGATATTATTTAATAATTTAAATAAATGATAACATTTTTGACAAAACTAGAGAAATTTTGTAAGTTGTTCGT